ACTGACAACTGACAACTGGCTTAAATTTTAGCTGACAACTGACACCCAAAGACCCCCAATAAGACCCTCTTAATGATACCCATAAACGTAAAATTTCAAGCATATATAATTGCTGGCAAAATTATAATTTGTCTCTATCCAAAAAACAGCCATATTTGAAACAGTAAACAGTATTGTATGTTTTTAACGCGAAAAATTTAAGTAAATACAAAAAGAAATTATAGCTTATAATTAAAGGAATTAGCGAAAATTGACTATATTCATGACGCGCTTGTCAGGCGAAAAACACACTGCCCAAAGATTTTATTATTTATTCTAGTAGATGTGTCATAATACTCAGTAGCTGCAATAGATTGGATACCTGATACCGTTGCACTTTTGAGAAAAAATAATTTACCGCCAGCATACTAACACGAATATTTAATCCGCTGTCTGAAAGACGTTTTTAAAATACACAATATTTGGTTTGCTTCAAGTGATCAGGATAATTTTTAGTTTAGGTTTATGCCTAGGCAGGAAATAATAAAATATGTAATTTTCAAGAAGTGAGAATAAAAGCGCGAGATGAACTGTGAGATATAAAAAAGCTCAAATATCACTTGCGTAATTAACGTTTTAACTTGTTTTCGAACGCTTCCGAAAATAATTGCGAAAAAAATTTTAAAACTCACTACAATTTCAAAGTCAACGTTTTTTTTCATTTTATGAATGATTTCTTCCACACAGAAAGTTTGAAGGAAATCTGTAATCTTAAGAAATTCGAGTGGTCGGTTTTTACACGGACTGCCTCTTAAGGTTGTTATGTATTGAATATCCATGATTCCCAGTTACATGTTTTGAAACAGTTTTGGTGAGTGGTTGGGTGAAACAAACCTTTGCCAGAACTTAAGAGCCTATAGATTCAGATTGTTTTCGGGAACACCCCCTGGCTTCCCCACCCAAAATAGAGTTTTTCTGGCCTTTCTCCAATTCTCCCGCACACAATTATTCTGCCTTATTAACCATTATTAACTGTGCACAGAACTGGAATTTAATTATATACTTCACTCATGACCTTCAAAACATTCTCAATTATTCAGTGGTCTTTGACATGTTCACCAAATATTTTGTGCATGTTACTCAACAGTTAACATTGGCAAGTGTAAACAACAAGTGACATAACTTTTGCTTCATATGATTACAATAAAGTTTTGAAAAATTGATGAGTATGGATTGAATTGACAGGTGGCAGTTTACTAAATAGCCGGCTGTATAGACACTTTGAATATTGTTTGCATGAAATTTTCATTTCCTGACTGCATAATTATCTGTTACAATCATAATCACATTATAAAGTTAGTTAAATTTTCTCGGTGCGGGGGTGGGGAGCACTTGCCCTGCCGCCGTCCCCGCTGTGTACAGCCCTGTTTTAAATCTTATCTGCTATTATAATAAGTGATGAAATATTTCAATCGTCCCATGTCATCTTCATTATTCAGTTTCTTTCAAGAAAATGCAAAATGTGAATCAAATTTTTTCGCAGATACATGTACGCGTCGCGTACCTATTTTTTAGTATGCCCCAGTGGCGGTCTGTATACGAAACTATTTAGCGAAAGAATACAATATAAATGGATTTCAACGTTTGTCGGTTTATGTTTACAATATTGAAGTGTATTTCCGGTCTGCGCTGATTGGTTGTTATTAATTGACCTGTGACATCCTAATTGAAGGGCGGCACGCAATCATCATAGGGATCCTTGCAGGCTCTCTTTCCCCAGAGAGCCTGCTCGCAGGCTAGTTTAATATATCATAGGACGCAGCAGTATATGGCTATTATATAATACATTTATGAAAGCATGAAGACCGATCAAGGAGTGCATGAGCATTATGATATTTAATTTATGTTCCATCCGAGTGGTTTATGCGCAAACTTTGTTAGTGACTTTTAAAGATCTATATAGAATACAGTAAGGCTAGCTATATACATCACATATCGTTTGACATTTGACAATCGCAACGGAATTTTATTCCGCAAGCTATTTTAAAGGTGATGTAAAGTCCGTAATGTAAACAAATGCTTTGTTTACATTTGGAACTCAGTGCTACAGTTGTAAAATATGATTAGATATATATTATACTGAACTTTTTAACACTCTTCTGGTTCACTATGCTGGTAAAAGAGTGCGGACTAGAGATTCAATTCAAGAAAGTTCGGAAGGTGCAAAATATTAACAACATTCCAAAGGTTGCTCCCCCACTGATGGAATGTGTTGATGCGCAGAATATATACGCAGAACATACTTTACAGCATCTTTAATTGAATCAATTTTATAATATTTCCCCCTTGGCCTTGTGAACAAGCTTGTAATAGAGAGGTTAAGGTATCTTAACCGGGGTATCCCGGTTTCTTAACCGGGGTATCCCGGTTTCGGTGCACGGGTACGAGTAGTGTCATCTTGTTTTACTGATGTCTGTAATTCGATCATACTTTTTCTGTTTTCTTGCAATAGACAATGATATAATGCGAAAAATGTGCACCTTAATTACGAGTAAAGGTACAGATATCGACGAAAATATTGCTAGCCAAAATCATGCTACCCGTACACGTACACAGAAACCGGGGTATGTTAACCTCTCTAATATCAAATATCATTGCGTTAGGCATTAAAAATAATATTCAACTTTTCCCTCACATCAGTTTTGCTTGATTGATGATAGTCTATGGTGTTCTGCAGTTGCAGGCAAAGTGTTGGCGAGGCCTAAAATCACAGCGTGATCCGTACTTTAAAAGTGAGGTTCACGCTGTGATTTTTTTGTGCGGGTTGTAATTGAGTCACTATATTATTTCCAAAAGCGTATGCTAATTTAGCTAAAAATACTCACCTTTTGTTTCCCCCAGAGTCGTTTTAAATCACCGCCGTGACCGCAAGCAAATTTTATTAAGCAAAGAAAGCATGCTTTTTCCCTATGGCGGGTGATGTGTGTCAAAATTAAGTGAACTGACATTTGACAATGATCTTGTAACATTTGGAATGCGTGTCAAACAATTTGACAATGATTTGACATCATTTGGCTATTGGTTCTCACTATTTTATGGCACCTGCAAAACATTTGGTGACAATATCAAAATATTCAACAACAAAAACCCGTTTGACAACAATCTATTACTGGACTGAAGTAAAATGTTATCATTTGACAATGACCTCACGTTCGGTAACAATCGTTTCATTTGGCAACAACAATCCCAAACTGCAAATTTAGAAACAAGATGGCGATCAACATCAACACCAACATCAACAGGACGAAGTACGAGATTCAATTTTAACACGCTTGGAAATGCTTTTAACCGATGTTACGGCAGCTATTTAACCAGATCCTGAACCCCATAATTATAATAAGCAGATCATATTCGCGATTACGGCTCTGAAGCACTTTATCGATGTCTTGCTGTTCTCACCAAGACTCTTGCTTGATTTAGATATCCACAGTTTACTAGTATACGTATTAGGATCGGGGCAGAGACTCTACACCGATCCTAATACGTGCTAGTAAACTGCGCGCGGATATCTAAATCAAGCAAGACTCTTGGTTGATATTATGGAACGCTCTGTTTTCAATGGTGAAAATAACGAAAGATGAACAACAACAAGAATGCTGAACCGCAGGGAGACCTGCATGAATTTGATATTTCCATGCAGAGACCAATTGGTGAACCTTATTATAGATGGGGTTCAGGATCTGGTGAAATAGCTGCCGTAACATCGTTTAAAAGAATTTCAAGTTAAAATTGAATCTCGTACTTCGTCCTGTTGATGTTGATTCGCCATCTTGTTTATAAATTTGGAAACTCGTAATACATTGCGGGATTGTTGTTGCCAAATAAAACTATTGTTGCCGAACGCGAAGTCATTGTCAAATGATAACACTTAACTTATTGAAATTTCCTTTGTCAAATTGAAATTTCCTTTGCCAAATGTCAATTTCCATTGTCAAATGATAACACTTAACTTATTGAAATAGATTGAAATTTCTGATTGAAAAACTTATTGAAATTTCCTGACATTGTTCAATTTTGTACAGTCTTATTATACATCAGTACCATTATGATACTCTTCCAATTGTTTTTACTGATTTTTTTAAAGAACATAAGCACAGTTATAATACGCGGTTGTCATTCAAATCTACTTTTGCTTTGCCAAAAGTACGAACAAATTATGGTATTTTTAATATTAGATACTGTGGTCCAAAGGCATGGAATTCTGTTGATGAATCCTTAAAATTATTAAGTAATAAAGCATTTAAAAGACAATTTAAAATCTCTCTGATAAGTTTATATAATTATATTAGCTAGTTACCTAACTCAGATTACTACAATTTAAAAATAACAATTTTGTATTAATAAATATGTGTGGCTACTTGCTCATCTTATTGACCAGATAGTTACGTAACATATAAAAAATTTCATTTAAAAAAAGTACTGATATGGAGCAAACTCATGTTTAGATAAAGATCTGAGCTATATTTATCTTCCGTGGATGTTGTATAAATGTATTACTTTAGCAGATCACCTGTCTCGATTAGGCTCTTATGGTTATAATAGGTGATCTTGCACACTGTGTGTTACACTGATCTTGCACACTTGTTATGTAATTTATGTGTGCAATAAAGATTTATTATTATTATTATTATTATTATTATTATTATTATTATTATTATTATTATTATTATTATTATTATTATTATTATTATTATTATTATTATTATTATTATTATTATTATTATAATAATAATAATAGTAGCCAAGAGAAAGAAAATCAAATGCTCCTTAATCGTTTTACAATCTGGTGTCAATGGGCTAATATGATTATACGCGTTGACAAATGTTCAACATTTGGCATTAAAAAACACTTAACTAAATCTATTCCGTATTTACCCAAGCTTTTCGTTAATAACGATCTTGTACCCAGAACCGAAATGGGCAAATCTTTCCGTTACTTAGGTCGCTATTTCGATTTCAATATGTCTGATGAGGAACACAAATCAGAATTACTCGACGTGTTTAATGACATCATGAATAAAATTAATGAACTACCCTTACACCCGAAAAATAAAATTCTACTATACAGTCGTTACTTGCTGTCAAAGATATCCTGGGACTTCACTGTTTCTGATATATCTAAGACCTGGATCTGCGAAACGTTAGACAGTATTGCGACAAAATATATCCGAAAACGGCTGGAACTTCCTGTCTCTGCAACCCTTAGCAACGTGTTGCTTCCACAAAACAAATTTGCTCTGAATATTATTCTCCCTTCGACAAAATTTATCCAATGTCAAACTGTCTCTCGATCAGCTTTAAAATACTCACCAAACGTAGATATTAACAATCTATGGGCGGTGACGAGCACCAACAAGAACGTACAGTATGATATTTACAAAGACACAAAAGACGTACTTAAGGCAGTTAGAAAAGAAAACGAACAAAGACTTCAAAACCACCTCATTTCGCAAGGTTCTTTCTTTTCCAGTATCATGAATCATTCCACATCCACATTCAACTCGTTATGGTCATCCGTTCAGAGCAAACTTCCGAAAAACATTTTTAACTTCACCATCCGATATATCAATAACACACTTCCAACACGAAAGAACCTATCAAAATGGGGACTATCATCAACATCCGATTGCTCTTTCTGCTCCTCACCTGAAACGCTGCTCCATGTGATTGCTGGATGTAAGACATATTTAGACGAAGGCCGGTTTACATGGCGACACGATTCTGTTTTAAATTTCCTCGCATCCACTCTTACTGCTGTGAAAAATTCCACACTTTACGCGGACATTCCTGGTTTTATGAATCCATCTGTTATCACGGGAGATCGTTTACGACCTGACCTTCTGCTGGTGACTGAAAACAGATGTTTATACATCCTCGAGCTTACAGTCGGTTATGAATCCAATCTGCAAGTTAACGCCAATCGTAAGCGTCAAAAGTACCGTGATCTAATCAATGAGCAGAAAGCAGATTATGATAAAGTCAATTTCGTCAATTTATCCTTAAGTACCCTCGGAGTTTTTGGCCGATCTTCTGAAAATTTCGATGGCATGCTAAGTAGCCTTAAATGTGATGTCAAGTATAGTAAATACATAAAGAAGCAAATCGTGAACATATGCATACAAACATCATATTATGTATTTTGTAAAAGAAACAAGGTGTGGGATAACCCAAAATTAATGTTAATATAATCCTTCTTAAAATAATTATTGTACAATAAATATATAGTATCAATTCAAGTAGACATTGATAAACTACCTGTAAAGTGAGGTTTATCATTGTAGTTGTATATATCCTAGCTCAATCACCTGAACCTTGTACGCCATATTATGACTTAAGAACGGCAAGTCATGGATATTACGAGTCTATGACCTTGAACACCAACATAATACCACTCACATCAATTTTTCATAACCTTGTTTCTGACTCATTAAATATTCAAAACTGTCAAATATTCGACTCTGAATTCCATCCTCGCTGGAATTGTAGTAAATATCGTCCAACTACTCGCACGTTAATCACGATTCCAGCCACCCGTCTATCCTATGACTTCCCAACTTTCTTCTTAAGCAACACTCGTTCAATGGCTAATAAACTGGATGAGATCAGTGCAACTATTACTAATAATAAATGTGATGTTGCAATCATCACAGAATCATGGCTTTCGTCAAACATTACGAATAATCTCATTAAGATCCCCGGATTTTCAAGTATTCGCAAAGACCGATGTGACGATCAACGTGGTGGTGGACTCTGCACCTACATCAGAAATACATTGGACTTCCTAGAATTAAAAGACTTATCTCACCCTGACATTGAATCACAGTGGTTCTTGATAAAACCAAAAAGACTTCCAAGAGGAATTGATGCAATTGTAGTAGCCTCTGTATACCACCCTCCCCAAAATAACGATTCAACACTAAGGAACCATCTATTTGAATCCCTAGACAACGCCCTCATCAATTTTCCAAACGCAGGCATCGTCTTGTTAGGGGACTTTAACCAGTTTAAACCTGGATCATTAACTTCATCCTTTAATCTTAAACAAGTTGTGAAAAGACCCACCCGTGGTAACAATATCCTTGACAAGATTTACACTACCCTTTCGAAGCATTACATTGATGCCATTATACTCCCATGCATTGGACAATCTGATCACCAAAGTGTTCTCCTCAACCCAACTAAACAAAGTCCGAAGTCACTCAAGTCTTATACCCCCTCCTACATTACTAAAAGAGACTGTCGACCCGCAAACAAACAAGCCCTAATCACCACCTTATCCCAAATCAACTGGACCCCACTTTACCACGTAACTGCTCTAGATGATCAATTCAACCTATTCTCGAACAAACTATCCTCTGTTATCGATGCCACCTCCCTCTGCGCACCATAAAGTGTTACCCTAAAGATAAACCATGGATCACTGCAGATATAAAAAAAATCATTTCTAAAAGGCAGAAAGCTTGGTTAACCAGCAACACTATCATGTATAACGTTTATCGTAACAAAGTTAGAAAACTATGTAAATCTGCTCGTCAGTCCTACTACGATAAGAAAATCCTTAATACCAGTGAATCTAACCCAAAAAAATGGTACGATAACATCAAGTCTATTTCTGGTCTATCTAAATCGGAACCTTTTTCGAGCATCTTCCATGATGGTGAGTTCAAAAGAGGTCCTGAGCTTGCTGAACTAATTGCCGAATCTTTCTGGCTGTTTCAAACGAATTGGCCCCACTCTGTTTCAATAAGCTTCACATTACATCTGTTCCTGATGAGTACATAATATCAACCCAACAAGTTGAAATCGAATTGGAAAAGATCAGTCTTCAGAAAGCAATTGGCCCAGACGATATCCCCAACTGGGTACTGAAATGAGCTGCACCGTTGCTCGCTGGTCCAATATGTTCCATCTTCAATGCCAGCATTGCACAAGGTTGCATCCCGACACTCTGGAAATCAGCAGACGTTATCCCAGCGCCAAAAATATCTAATCCCAAATCAGTTGATAGCGACCTAAGACCTATTTCTCTCACACCGGTGCTGAGTAAATTATTGGAAAGCTTTGTTTTTCGGTGGCTTTTTGGTTATATTAAACTATCAATCGACCCGCTCCAGTTCGGAAATATGAAAAATTGCTCCACCACACACGCGCTTATCCACATGATCCATAACTGGCTAGCCGAATTAGAAAACCCTGGTTCAACTATCAGATGTTGTATGATTGACTTTTCGAAAGCCTTTGATCGCATCGATCACAATATTTTACTTCATAAATTACAACAATTCAACATCCCTCCTATCTTGTTGAATTGGTGCACTGAGTTCCTGCATGACCGATATTTACGTGTCAAGCTTGGCCAGAATAAATCAACATGGCGACAAATAAATGCAGGGGTTCCACAAGGTACAAAACTTGGACCCCTCTTCTTCCTTGTGATGATAAATGACTTGCAAACCAACACTCCAATGTACAAATATGTCGATGACTGCTCCACATACGAAATCGTTTCAAGATCGTTCCCTACTTCATCGCTTCAAGCTAATATAAACACTATAAATGACTGGACCAATCACAACAACATGCGGCTTAATGTATCTAAAACCAAAGAACTGCGTATATCCTTTCTTAGAGTCCCTATGGTATTCGATGCCCTCTCGTCATCTGGTTTAAACATAGAAATCGTCCAGACCTTCAAACTTCTGGGAGTGATAATATCATCGGATCTTACCTGGAATGTGCACATTGATTACATCTGCACCAACGCAAGTAAACGTCTTTATGCTCTAAGGATCCTCAAACGATCTGGTGCCCCAGCCAATGATTTAATAACGGTCTTTTGTGCATTTATTCGTCCAGTTTTGGAATACGCCTCACCTGTATGGCATTTTTCTCTCCCTCAATTCCTCGCTGATCAAATCGAGAGTATACAAAAACGTGCATTGAAAATCGCTTTCCCCCAGTCCTCCTATACTACCTCACTAAGAAACACTGGCCTTCTTACACTTTACCAGCGAAGAGAGAATCAGTGCTTGTCATTCTATAAGAATATCCATCAACACTCAGACGATAAGTTGAGAACGCTACTTCCCAGTGCTATATCTCTCAAATTCAGTCTAAGAAATAAACGCACTTATCCTATGTATAAGTGCAAAACTGAACGATATAAGAACAGTTTTATTCCAAAGTGTGTTAGAAACTGGGACCGACCATGGACATAACAAAATATTTTTTAGTACATATCATTAATATAGTTTATATTATAGTAGTTTTAAATTGAACTTTTTGCAAATTTAAAAATTTTAATACTATCTATGTAATATCACGTTATTTAAATTTTTATTAATTTACAATGTGGTAATTATTAAAATCAATCAATCAATCAATCAATCAATCAATCAATCAATCAATCAATCAATCAATCAATCAATCAATCAATCAATAAAGTTTCCATTATTATTATTATTATTATTATTATTATTATTATTATTATTATTATTATTATTATTATTATTATTATACTACGTACTACATATTTTGCTGTAGAAATAAAGAATGGACAAATCCCGAACTAATGAACATTTAAAGTAACTATTTCTATAAATAATTAACAATTTTTGTATATAAAACTATAAACACGTATAAGTGATTCAAGTAGTCAATTGTAGGTTACCTCAAGAAGTGAGATTTACAATTGTATATATCTATAAATGTTCTATTAATAAAGTTTTCAATATTATTATTATTATTATTATTATTATTATTTTTTACAGTTCTACGCAATGCCCTAAAAACATCTCCAAACGATTCAATAAACGAACTGTGGAAGTCAACTAATAATCATATTAACATTCAATACGATAGCTACAACTCAACTAAAGAAGTTTTAAAAACTTTCCATTCTCAACAAGAAAATAAACTTAGGAACAGTTTGAAATGTCAAGGTTCCTTTTTCGAAAATGTTTCTAAATTCTCCCTATCACAACTTAACGCAATCTGGTCGGTATCGCAATCAAAGCTACCAAAGAACATTTTCAACTTTACAATATCCCTTCCTACCCGAAAGAACCTCAATAGATGGGGAATTTCATCAAGTTCTGACTGCTCGTTCTGCTTACACCCTGAATCACTTCTACACGTTGTTGCCGGTTGTCAACATTACTTGAAACGATTTACTTGGAGACACGATTGCATACTAAACTTTCTTGCAAAAACTTTTCAAAGTTTAAACAAATGCAAATTACATGTTGATCTTCCTGGATTTGAAAGCCCCTCGATTATTACGGGAGATGAATATCGTCCTGATTTACTTGTCTCCACTTCAGACAAACACCTCTACGTTGTTGAACTTACCGTAGGCTTTGAATCAAACCTCACAAACAATGTTAACCGCAAGAAAGCTAAATATAAAGACCTAATTAGAGAATTGGATCAAAACTTTACATCCGTTAAATTTATAAATCTTTCTGTCAGTTCGCTAGGGGTGTTTGACAAAGAATGTCATACATTCATAAAAATGCTAAATGAGTTAGGACTGGATAATCAACACCAACAATATTGTATCAGAATAATTATATCTATTGCCATCCGATCAACGTACTACATATTTTGCTGTAGAAATAAAGAATGGATTAATCCCGAACTAATGAACATTTAAAGTAACTATTTCTATATTAAATTATAACCATGCATGTATAAGTGATTCAAGTAGTCAATTGTAGGTTACCTCAAGAAGTGAGATTTACAATTGTATATATCTATAAATGTTCTATTAATAAAGTTTTCATTATTATTATTATTATTATTATTATTATTATTATTATTATTATTTCTTGGGGAAATATTTTGACTTCAGTATGTCCGAAAAAGAACACAAACAAGAGCTAATCACTCTCATGGACGACATTATGTCTGAAATTGATCTTAAACCTTTGCACCCGAAAAATAAACTTTTGCTTTATAGTCGTTACCTCCTATCCAAAATTTCCTGGCATTTCACTGTAACCACCATATCAAGAACCTGGGTCTCTGAAAATATGGATTCTGTGGTGAACAAGTAGGGCCTACGTACGTAAATGGCTTGAAATACCTATATCAGGAACTCTATCTAACGTCTACCTTATCAGCAACAAGTTTGGTCTAAATATCTACCCGCCGTCAATTAAGTTTGCTCAGTGCCAAACAGTTGCTCGTAACGCCTTAAAGACCTCTCCAAATCATTCCATAAAAGACCTCTGGAAAACAACATCTGAAAGCAAAAACATTCAGTACGACGTTTACATCTCGACAAAGGAAGTCCTTAAAACTTTTAACTCCGGACAAGAAGACAAATTGCAGAATCATCTGATTTTGCAAGGCTCCTTCTTCTCAAATGTCATTAAGTTTTCACTGTCGAAATTAAACGGCATATGGTCTAAATCCCAATCAAACCTCCCAAAGAACATCTATAACTTCACCATTTGTTACATTAATAACTCACTTCCAACTCGTAAAAACCTTACTAAATGGGGAATATTGTCCAACTCTGATTGCTTCTTCTGCTTAAACCCTGAAACCCTTCTACAGGTAGTTGCTGGATGTCAAACGTATCTCCCACGATTTACATGGAGACATGATTCTGTTCTGAACTTCATAGCACAAACGCTACAACCTGTAAACAACTCCAATCTTTTCGTCGATCTTCCTGGTTATAAAAGCCCATCAATTGTAACTGGTGACACATTCCGCCCAGACCTACTTCTATCTATCAACTCGGATTGTCTCTATATCCTTGAACTTTCTGTTGGTTATGAGTCTAATCTACAAACAAATGTTGATCGGAAAAGAAGAAGATACGAAGATCTCATTACACAGCAAAAGAAACAATTTAAGTCCGTAAAATTTGTAAATTTGTCAATTAGTTCTTTAGGCGTCTTCTCAAAAGAATGTCATTCCTTTTTAGATATCTTAAATGATCTAGGTCTTGATAAAAGACACCAACATTTTGCTATCAGGAAAATTATGTCTATCGCGATTAGGACAACATATTATATATTTTGTTGCAGAGATAAGGACTGGTCAAATCCGGAATTACTGAACATTTAAGGATACTCATTATTAATATATAAATATTAAGTAGGTTCAAGTAGCCAATTATAAATTACCTAAATTAGTGAGATTTATAATTGTATAATATATACGTATATAATTTCAATAAAGTTTCCATTATTATTATTATTATTATTGTTATTAGTTCAGTGCAGTAGGCTAATTAATTGTTGTTAAAGTGCCCATGACACGAAATTTCACCACAAATGTTTATGATTGCATTGTAAAAGATCACTTAAAATGACTTAATAATTTCTTTTATAGAATTTTGGTAACTTGCTTCCTTTGCAAGATCTTCAACTTTGTTTCATATGCAAATATCACCCTAATCACCGGTGTGACATCACATCGCATAATGACATTTTGAAAACGCAATATTTTACCTTGATAAAATATGTTTACAAACAAATACAGAGGGTTAACTACCAGTTATGAATTAATACATATACAAGGGCAATTTTAAAGTTTTTAGATACGTATTCGTCAAGAAAACTATACTTTTCTGAAAACTCAACAGCGACTGCCAGCCTCGTACCCAGGCGCAAATAACGTGCTAAAAATAGCAACACTACAGTGTTTTTATATAGATCAGTGGCTAAGATGAGCGAGCGCGCGGGGGTGCTAGGTCAGGACACGACGGGATTCTGCAGCGCGTGGCAGAATATGTAAATATGTCTCTCCAGAAATACGATATCTGGAGAGTCGAACCATTCAGCTTTTTATTCGTGCCTTTTCAATTATTTTTGGCGTTTTTGGTGCTGAATATTATATTTATTTGTGCTTATGGATGACCTGGAACAATCGCTGAAGGAATTATCAAGGAATTATCAAGAAATGAGTGTTAGAGGTGAGTGTTTGTATTGGTTTGCCTTGAGATTTCATTATTTTCTGTATAATTATGTGTGCATCATTGTATAAATCTTGGTCAAGATGACTACAAGAAATAGGTTTCATATTTTAAAAGAATTTGTAATCTCCCCACAAAAGGAGAAAGAATAATTTCAACCAGGGAAGCACCTTTAATAATTTAACACCAGAATCAAAAAGCCCATGTCGAGTTCCAGCCAAAGAGATTTGCTGATCAAATGTCTTTATGCTATACAATTCTAAAACAAACTGAATTGATACAGAGCCCAGTAGTGCTGTCGCTACTATGACTACTGCTTGATACATGTATATTAAATTTGCCATAAAGTGATTTGAATATTTTTGTTTTTCAGTGTATTGTGTGCAGTTTGACATTTTTCACTGATGTTCTTGATTTCCAAAAGATCTACTACATGTGATATGAATATAGATATAATATTATATTTGCAACCCATGAAATGTATATTTCCTCTGTAGCTGGTACAGTTCAACATAGCACAATTTGATTGAGTAAAAGGCTTTCTGAGGGTGCCTCCCGTGCCACCTTATGGAGGGTGAGTTAGAGGCTAATCCCAAGCCACCTTGCCAACATTCCCTCTTAGTCGGCCAGCCAAGGTGGCAAAAAGTGCCTCTAAAGAGAGTTTGATGGCAAGTTTATGTTAGAAGCTGGTAACAGGAATTTTCTTACAGTTCAAGCCTTGGTGACCACTTCTGATATTTGCTTTATAGCCAAAAATTTGAGAATTTTAAAATTTGCCTATTAAAATACTATGATGGCAAAAAATGTAAAATTTCATGTTCTCTTGTACAAAAAATGAACTATACCACTAGAAAGACCGCAAAAAACTATATATAAGACAATTAAGTGACTAGTGCGATTTTCAAGCCGATTTTGAATTAAAGATGGTTAAAGTTGGCAAAATGGGTACTAATTAGCATTAATTTGGTCATTTCTGACTTTTTTAGCATTAAAAACTCGGAATAGAATTGGAAAATTATAGAACTCACTTAATTGTCTTATATATAGTTTTTTACGCTCTTTCTAGTGGTATAGCTTATTTTTCGTATAAGAGAACTTGAGATTTTACATTTTTTTCGATTATAGTAATTTAATAGGCAAAATTTAAAAATTCTCAAATTTTTGGTTATAGAGCAAAAATCAGAAGTGGTAACACGTATAGTCTTGTTCACCAAGGCTTGAACTATAAGAAAATACCTGTTACCAGCTTCTAACATAAAGTTGCCATCCAGTCGTACAAAATGATGACTTGGCCAGCCGTCTATCTGTAGAAAACTGGAGTCAGTTCCCGGAGAAAACCCACAACTTAATTTGTCAGAGTGTTGACTGCATGACTCTTTTCACATAAGCGTCATTGAAGTGGTGAGAATTGAACCAACAATCGCAGAGGTAAAAAGTCCTTGCTCTGACAATTGCACTACCAAAGTCGGTGGTGCAATCAGCACGCCACCATAGCCTCGGTAGGGTGCACTGGAACTTAATGGGCTAAGCTGTTAATTTGTGCCAATGTACCTAGCATGTTGAAAAGTTCGGCTGTGGGTGAGTGCATGGGTCTATAAATAAAAACCCACAAGAGGATTAAATTTGTATAAATATTGCTATAGCTCTAGATTCCTTTGAATGTAAATACTATAGTAGTTTATGTCATGAGCAAAATAAATAAAATTCTCAAGACTTTAAGAGGCAGTCTCTGTAAAAGCGGTCCACTGCATTTCGGATCAGGAAATAGTTTTCTCCCAAACTTTTACCGTGAAATGGCACATACCAGTGAGTTATGAAACTAACTTTGGTTTTTCGATTTTCATAAAAATAATTTTTTTACAGCGCTTTAGTTCCAGGCGACCGTCTTCGCTGAATTTGCACTTTTCGTCGACTGAAAATTACACATAATTAAAACATTACAGCTCACGGTATATAGAACTCTGCACCAAGATCTTTTTCCCAGTCTTGTTGATTTATTCAAGTGCAAAATTCAAGCAAAAATTTGAATGTCGAAAGAAATACGGGGGGAGGAAAAAATACGTAATGATACTCGTTTTACGGCTTTCTTAAAATCACGACAAACTGACCCTCAGAAAATAGCTTTCATCTCCTAAGTCCAGCACTGAAAACCTAAAGCTTCTATACCAATCTACTAATCTAAGGATGTATAAAAAGGATTGATAAAAACATTTTGCGCTTTTTATTTAAATTCTGCACAACATCCTCGGACTTTCTGTGTTTTTGATGCAAAATTACATTTATTTAATTAGGCGGTAAATATAAACTGTAATGAAAGACTGTTTATATTGCATTAAATATTTTCTTATTTTCAAATATACAGTTCAAGAAATGTATTACTAAATGGTGCCGGACGGCCGGCTTTGCTATATAGCTGAAGTGTTTTATTGTTCGTGCAAAATACTTGACTGTTTATTATGCAAGCTTAATATTTTACCAAAATAGAATTTCAAAACAGCAATTCCATTTTTTTACTCATGAAGTTCTAGTTCGGATAAAAACTTGTTGCAGGAAGTATACAAATATATCCGATATTCTTATATCACTTAATTGACTTAAACGTAGGAAAAATAACCAAAACACATCACATGTGCATATATATATATACCATGCACGACGAAATTGACATCTTACTGAACGTGACTTTATATATATTTTAAGGCTTAAGGCAGCAAGTGATATTATAATTTTTAAAACATTTTGCACTTTTATTTTAATATTTTTAATATATTCTACACAGCAACCTCGAACTTGCTTTTTGTTAATTTATAAAGCCTGACATGACATATTAAGACATAAAAATAATTAGAAATGTATAAGTTCTTTGTATGTTTGCATGCCGATAAAAGATAATAGTTTTGTTTGTGGAAACACCACGTAAATTTATTACTGCAAAGCTTTCGATCCGTAAGCCCGGATCTTCATCAGTGCAAATAATATGTGACTTGTTTAATTCACACGTTCTTTTTATATACAAAAGTGTCGTGATCTCTTGGCTCGCGTCATTTGAAATTTAATTAAATGGCACATCAACCACGTCATTTCAAACGTAGTGAAGTGATTCCAATTAACGCGTGCGCATACAAGACAAGAGAAATTAATTTTGCACATTAAAGAGAGCACGCCACGTACTATCTAGTGGCGTTCCCTCGTGATCTATAGTGTTGTGCTTCTCGATTTAATTAATGATATAAGAATATCGGATATATTGCGGTCAATTAAGTGATATAAGAATATCGGATATATTGCGGTGCCCAAACTTTGGGCACCGTATTATATTCTGCCTGTGAGTTTGTCCGTTTGTTTGACGTTTCCTTAATTAATCGCCTAGTAAAAATTCCTTGCACGTGCTCGAAATTTATTCATTTTTGCAGGAAAATTAATTTATCTTGTACTCTCAGAATCGACTGTTTGCTAGGCTTTATCTCCAGTTTTATGGGCCAAACAATACCACTGTTCGAATCAGCGTGGAAAGTTGTATTTAGGGATGGAAAATTGATTTCAAAATTGATTTCTATTCTAGCGATTTATAGCCTTTTAAAGACAAGCCAAGCCGCTCAAAATAATCCTTCACGTTTTCCGAATTCCTTTTTTCGAGGAAAGTTTTCTTTTCTATTTTTAATCTCGGACTCTCACGATAGACTTTATGCTGCGCCTTATCTCTGGTTTTATGCGCCCAATAAGGACAAAAATATCACCATTCGATTCAGCGTAAGAAATTGTACTTATGGATGTCAAATGTGTTACTAAACAACAGAATTCTAGCGATTTATGGCCTTTGAAAGTCAAGCGAGATTGCATTGCATGTCGACAAACGCTCAAAATTACTAAACTAATTAAAAATGCAGTACGTTCGATTCTTGATAACTTTCGTATCGTTGGTTTTCTCGTTTTCGGCCGTATACCAGTGGATTCATCTCATTTTCCCTTCATTTTGATAGTATTTTGAGCCCAAACTATTTTATTTTGAAGGTTTTAAAGTGCAGTTTTAATCAGCGAAATAGGGGGCGGCATTGTTGACAAATCGCTCAAAATTATTAAACTAACTAAAAATGCAGTACGTTTGACCCTTGATAGTTGATAACTTTGGTATCGTTGGTTTTCTATTTTCGGCCACATAACAGTATATTCATCTCACTTTTCTCTTCATTTTGATAGTATTTTGAGCCCAAAATATTATATTTTGAAGATTTTAAAGCGTAGTTTTGATCCTAATGTGTATGGACCAACTGGCGGCCGGCAGGAAAATGTAACATACTAAATATAACTTTACTTGTAGGCGAAAACGCCGGAAGTTTTATTTGTAGGCGGGCACCGCATTAGTACTGTGTCTGGTTTGTATATATACTTCTAACAAGTTTTTATCCGAACTAGAACTGCTGCATGAGTAAAAAAATGGAATTGCTGTTTTGAAATTCTATTTTGGTAAAATATTAAGCTTGCATAATAAACAGTCAAGTATTTTGCACGAACAATAAAACATTTCAGCTAGCAAAGCCGCCGGCACCATTTAGTAATAAATTTCTTGAACTTTAAATTTGAAAATAGGAAAATCAAATTTAAATGCTTTAAATCCGAATGCAATAAAATTGAAGCAAATATAAACAGTCTTTCATTACAGTTTATATTTACCGCCTAATTAAATAAATAAATGTAATTTTGCATCAAAAACACAGAATGTCCGAGGTTGTTGTGCAGAATTTAAATAAAAAGCGCAAAATGTTTTTATCAATCCTTTTTATACATCCTTTGATTAGTAGATTGGTATAGAAGCTTTAGGTTTTCAGTGCTGGACTTAGGAGATCAAAGCTATTTTCTGAGGGTCAGTTTGTCGTTATTTTAATCAAAGCCGTAAAACGAGTATCATTGCGTATTTTTTCCTCCCCCGCATTTCTTTCAACATTCAAAATTTCGCTTGAATTTTGCACTTGAATGAATGAACAAGACTGGGAAAAAAGATCTTGGTGCAGAGTTCTATATTCCGTGAGCTGTAATGTTTGAAATATGTGTAATTTTCAGTTGACGAAAAGTGCAAATTCAGCAAAGACGGTCGCCTGGAACTAAAACGCTGTAAAAAATTATTTTTATGAAAATCGAAAAACCAAAGTCAGTTTCATAACTCACTGGTATGTGTTATTTCACGGTGAAAGTTTGGGAGAAAACTATTTCCTGATCCGAAATGCAGTGGACCGCTTTTACAGAGACCCTTTCTAACTTGGCTGAACCAATGACCATATACAGGATTTAGGAGCAAGCACAGGAACAACTGGGATAGGTCTTGTTGTGTTTACATTACAAACCTACACTTGTCCAAGCACATTACTGGGACCTACCCTGAGTGACCTGAAATAATTTCAGGTGAAGAATTTGGGGTAGCTCACCCTGTAGTATACACATGTTTGGATAATGTTTAATCCCGAGACCAATTTCCATGACAACAGGGTAAATCATGTGTGTTAAATGTGTATATGGTACATGTGTGTATGTATTTTTGTGTGTGTATATGTAATGTGTGTATTTTAATGTTGACACATATTTTCAGTGAGACCATCGGATGATGTTTGCCACATATTTTTCAAATAACATTGATTATTAACATACATCTGAAATCAACCCAACAAATTGCAATATGCAACCATACCTTTAAATTGTCCAGTTTGTTAGACACTGTCCTGTAATTAAGTGTCAATGCATTATATGTGGCCACAGGTAAGTCCAGAGTATACCCCATTCATTAGTGTAAACATGGTAGATTTTGGCAATCAAGGACAATAGCCTTTATAGGTCAAATGCAAGGTGAAGCACAAAATACACATCAAAGTATAAAACATGATCACTGGGTTGGTTTGTGCTTTAGCCTTTAAACTTACTGTCAGCCAGTTACAACAATAGCTAAATGGCGAAAACAGGTTTTATATTATTAAATTTATTAAATGTTTATATCTTCACTGATATTTTGCATACTATAAAGCACTCGTGCATGTTTAATATAGGCCTTTTTCTTGGTAAAATTTTAGAAACTAAGAAACCTACAATAAAATATTTTCTAGTTATAAATTTTCTCCTCTGAGGTAAAAGGTATCATCAGTACAAATAAATAGTAATTTCAACATTCCATATAAATTCAATGTATTATTAAAATATTTATATTAAAATTAAAAGATTCAAGAGTAAGCCAATTTCTTTGACTTTGCTTGGTCAGTTTCTCTTTCAAACTGCAAAAAGGCAGTATATTTCATGATGTGCATCCAACACCAGACATATATTTTCAACCATTTGAAATAAATCGTTATTTTTTTAGAATGTTCAATGATCTTGAGTTCTCTCATGACCAGCAGACTTTCTAATTTCGAGAGGCTGGTCTCCTGAGGAGACCTTCAATTAAAATACCGTTTTCGAGGAAAAACCCTTATTATCAACGCAGTGATCATTTGGACATAAAATCTTTCCCAAATGTACCGCTCGTTAGGCAAGCCTTTCAATTTCATTTAGTATAAGTACAGCAATCTCCTTCTTTGCATTCTCATGTCTGCCATGTTTGTTACAAATTCTGCCAGGCGCTTCGTTTCCCGAGTCCTCCCCAAGCATCCCCGCGCGCTCGCTCATCTCAGCCACTGATCTATATAAAAACACTGTAGTGTTGCTTTAGTACGTTATTTGCGCCTGATTACGAGGCTGAGCGACTGCCCTAACCATTCAGCAAACGTTACACATTTATAGACATTAGCCAAATGGACATTGAATGTCCATTCAATTGATTTAAACTGTTTATAGACATAGTTGATTTCAGTAAAAGAATGGTCGTTTTTATTAAACACTATAGGTTCTGTAGGAAAGAGTGCAAAAGGTACACAAAGAGGTACACAATTATAAGACAACTTACCGTATGCTTTTCTTTTCTCTCTGCACAATATCTCCAACATAATTCTATAGCCATTTACCCTCGCCTTTTATATCTTTCCTCTTGAATGCAAAAATATTATGATAGCAGATAAGGTTTACAGCAAAGTATTTTTTCTATTACATATGGTACAAAGTGCATAGATATCTTATATACACTAGATAGTGCATCTCTTTTAGTAAAATTGAAGCCAAGAATATTCCAGCGGTTACCCCCATTTGAATAGATGGCGGCCATGTTGGTCGTTCCCACTTGCTATTAGAGAGTTTGAGCAAGACAACGAAGTACGAAGACGAAAACGTACTTGACAAGTTTTCGACGTCTGCGCATTATTTCGCGCATACTGCGGTTGGTGCCAGCGGTTGCTTTTCGACGTCTTCGTTGCACAGCCTTCGTTGAGAACGAAGAATTTTACAAAGTTCGTTGTGGTGACTACGAAGAAGTTTGAAAGGTAAAATCTCCTTCAATCTGTACTTTTTTGGTTCATAATCTTCAAATATGTGATAGGCTAGCTTTTATGTACATGGTTTAGTAAATTATTGAAGCTTTTATGCGATAAATATAAGAATATTAATATCGCGAAATGTTGGATGTTTTGCTATATCGTGGACCTGATTTGAATTACAAATATATACTGTAAAGTTTTGTTGTTTTTATCTGATTGACTTTGGCTATGCTCACGCTGTATTCAAAACAACTTTTCCTTTTCATAGTTGTGTGTTTATATTACCTGGTATTACAGTATAAGACAATACAATTGTTGCTTATAGATACTTTTGTTGAAATATTTATGTAGATTGAGAGTTGAATTTAATGTTTTGATTTAAAAATTGAATGTTACACCTAACTATATTGAGTTGAAACTTGTCCCCCCAGTCACATGCTCTGGGGAATCTAACTTACATATAATGGGAAATACTCAAATAATTGGAAGAGTTAAAAAAATAATATGTACAGTATGGACACAAAATTGATGATGTCAATGACTAAAATGGCTAAGTAATCTATAGGGATTTTTGGCGAAGGAAAATTTTGAGTGAGGAATACATACATTCTAAGACCAAACTGGGACCAGTTGCAAAAAATGCAACTACATAGGCTTTTTGGCAGGAATTGAACCCACAAACTTGCAATTCTAGTGCAATGCTCTGATCACTGAGTCTGTTGCAGAGCTTGATCGATTGCGAGTTCTCTATATATTAAGATGGCAATGCCAGGAGAGAATTGGGCATATTTAATATAAGTATATTTAATCTATTAATGTTTCCATTTT